ACCCCATAGGTGAAATAATTAAATATGTGCTCCTATTTGTGGGGGCTACGTACGCACGAGGTGATGAGAGTCCGTGCGTAGCTACTATTATGCCTATGTCCGGGTAGTCTTAGGCTACATCATGCCTTGTTGATATTGTTGTTGATTTATGTTATTGCTTGCTTTGAGAAAAAATAAGATTGAGGATGCGTAATAAATGTGTTGAAATGTATTTTAATTGAGGAAAATTTAAGTGTTTCCATTAAACTGAGTATTTTCGAAAAGAATTGAGGGACCTTATATTAACTCAAGAAAATCTATGTGTAACCGCGTCGCATGTATGATTCGTGAGCGGGGAAATTCTTAAATCTATACTTGACTGCATCGCACGTATGATTTGTGAGCTGGGTACTTCCTTCCTCTACTCTCATGGGAGCGCGCCGATCGCCTCGGCAGGTTAATAGATGCATCTATGGTTTGCACCATTCGACCCTCTGGCAGTGCACAATTTACTTTTATGTTGGATCGGCTCGTACACCTCGGTGTTTCCTTTATATATATATATATATTATTCTCGTGGAATCGTGCGTGACATTTGGCTAGATTTTTCCCTGATTTGAAATATGACAACTTTCTTAATAAAATCCACTATATATATATATATATGCTCCGGCTACGGAGGGAACTTGCTAGTTGAGAGCTTGAGTAAAATTATAAAGAGGGGAATTGTATCACGTATTTTATACTTGTTTATTTCATACATTTACTTTGCTTCATGTTTATTCACCCCCTTTTTTGTACCCGATATTATTGGACCACTAGTAAGTGTCGGAGTCGACCCCTCGTCACTACTTCTTCGAGGTTAGACTGGATGCTTATTGGGTACGCGTTATTTTTGTACTCATACTACACTTCCTGTGCATTTTTGTTGCACAGGCACATGTTTATCTAGTGGCCTAGTGGGCGTAGCAGCATGGTTGATACGGAGACTTAGGTGAGCTGCATCTCTCGAGACGACCCGCAACCAGCAGAGTCTCTTTAAGAGTATTGTATTTACTTTCTGTCCGAATTTGTATTCCGGACAGTTATTGTACTTCATTTGATTTCCTAGTGATTGCTCATGCACTTGTGACACCGGGTTCTGGGGTGATTTCAGTATTGAAAATTGTAAACATTTTTATTTATTTTACGAAGATTACTTTTTACTAGTTAAATTAAAGGAAATTTATGGTTTCAAAAATATTTAATTGAGAGTTTAATTAATTATTTAATGTTGGCTTGCCTGATCGAGGTGTCCGGCGCTATCACGGTCTTTAATAGATTTTGGATCGTGACAATTTCGAAAACCAAACCAAACCGACCCAAAAAACCGATACTTTTAAGGTTTGGTTTGATTTTGGTTTTGAATTTTAAAAACCGATCAAATTTGGTTTGATTTTGGTTTTAATAAAAAAATAACTGAAAAAACCGAACCAACCCGACTATAGAAGTAGCTATTTAAATTTATTATTACACACACACACACACACACACACACACAACACANACACACACACACACACACACACACACACACACACATATATATATATATATATATATATTTTAATATAAAGTTTCTAAAATGTTATGGTACATATTAGTCGTTTGTATTTTAAGTCTAGTTCTTTGCTATTACAATAATCTAATTCTTTGACTTTACATTCTAGTTTGATTGGTTGTTTGCTTTTGCTAAGTACAAGAATTATTACATGGTACAAATAATCGATTTTTAATTGAGTATTTAAATTATTCATCACCATTTGATTCAGTTATCATCAATATATCATGGTAAATGATAGATTTCTCAAAGAGCAATTGATTTGATAGTGTTACGTTGAAAATGTAGTCGCCGTAATATATGTTTGGTAGTGTATGTCTCATATTTCAGAACAAACCCGATAAATAATCGAAAACCCGATAAAAAACGACAAAAACCGAATCGCTAAAAAACCGACTTGATTGGTATGGTTTGGTTCCAACATTTTAAGAACCGAATTACTTGATTTGGTTTCTTTTTAGAGAAAGACCGATCTAAACCGAACCATAAATACTCCTAGGTGGTGGTTCCTGTGATTGTTTGAGCGATACATGGTGGTTATTTGCTGTGGAGTAGGTATTAGAAGTTGGTTCTTGAGGTGTGGTAATGGCTTGGTTTGTTGGGGGGTATTTGAAGAATCCTTTGGGGTTGAGGTGGATGGATTTTCAGTGATTGGTTGTGAGTATAGGCCATTGTTATTGGTTGAGGGGTTTGGGAAGGTCTCATGCAATGGGTTGCCGTGTGGTAATGGAGTTGTAGGATTACTTGAAGTAGTGATGGATGAGGTTTCTTTAGGATGCAATGATGGTGAGGCAGAGGAGTGTGATAGTTGAGGTGATAGTTGAGATATAGTTTGTGGGATTTGGGGTTTAAGTGTTGTAGTAGGAGTTATGATTGTTTGCGGTGATATAGTTGTATCAAGGGTTTCTGTGACGTTTTGTGAACAGTGTTCATGCACTTGCATGTTTGAATTCGGAAGTTGGGAATAGGAGTCACGATGATTGGCTATTCTAGTTAGTTTTTTGTTGGTATTATATTTTGGAAGTAAGTGTTTGGACATTGTTTTACGAATTAAGGGGTGTAGGGGTGGTGGTCTAATGCGATGATTAATCTCTCCTAGGTTAACAGTAGGCGTGGGTGTTGGGAATTGGAAAGGTGATGATGGTGGTTTGGACGTGTTTGGGGTAGGGTTTATTGATTGTGTTATAGGTGGTATAGGGTTGTCATTAATAGTTTTGGTTTTTATATGGGGTGGGTCCAGTGTAGGGATACGATTTGGCAGTTCGAATTGGTTTTGTAGTGTAATATTATTGGTTGGTTTTGTGGTGTCATGTGGGGCCAGTGAGTCCGTAGGGTTTTTGGTGGGGGAGTTGGGTTGCTGAGGGTTATTTTGGTTTTTGAAGGTGGTTTGGGTAGATTGTTTATCCTTAGTATTAGCAAATTTTTTGTTCTTTACATAGGTAACTGTTTTCCATTGGCTATGTTGGCCATCTTCACTGGAGGGTGTGTTTGGGTTATCTTCTGTTTGTTTCGAAGTGGAGGGGGTTGAAAAAATTGGACAAAATAAAGGTTATGCCCTAAACATTCACATTTTGTACAGATTATAGATGAGTCTTCATAGTAAATTGGTTGAGTGTGTGTACCAAGGAGAATTTCGTTTTAGTAGTACAACTTCATGTATATGTAGAATGTGAAAAATTTATGAAATAAAGCGGCAGAGAAGAGGATTTACTTACTTAATAACTACATGAAAGTTGAATTTGTTACATTTTCATCTTGTAAAATCTAACTCCATGGAATATGACATATCATGCTTGAAACGATTCGGAATTTCCCACATTCAAACGACTCTCACTTTCAGATTTCATTGCATGGAATTGCTTGAAATTTGTGTGATTTCATGAACGGGTGTATTCATATTTGCAAAGATGTTGTAGTAAACAAACTGGTAACTGAGCAGAGAAAACAGGGAATTTGAAATAAACGCATAAATCAGTCGTGGAATTCATCCTCAGAGTGTTTGAGCTAGTTTAGGATTTTGTGCATTTGACAATTGGCATAATTTTATGCATTTGCTTCTCCTTTTATATATTACTAGTAGATTTTTCATTAAAGAATAAAATTTTCGGCTATTGCCCGTCAGAAAATACTCGCGCCGAAAAACGAAAGTACTTTTCTACGGCTGACCATGGATAAAATGAGAAAAGTAAAAATGGGGAATCAAGGTGATTTATTTTTTCGCGGAGTTAGACGTGGGGTGAAATTCAAAAACAGCCAAATTTATAAGTGGTAATTAAAAAATAACCATAGTTTCAGAAGTGATTAAAATCTAGCCACTTTTCATGTAAAGATAAACCTGAACGAAAACACTGTTCAAATTTCGAAAAATATTCCAGCATAATATACTGGAGTTCGAATTTTTTACATGTGAACTTCCAGCATAATATACTAGAGTTCCGTCATAATTATGCTGGAAGTTCATATAGAGGTGCTCCATTCTACAGTATATTATGTTGGAACTTTCCGTGTGCTGGAGTTCCAGCATAATATGCTGGAAGTTCATACACAGGTGCTCCAATCTCCAGTATATTATGCTGGAACTTTCCGTGTGCTGGAGTTCCAGCATGATATGTTGAAAGTTCATACACATGTGCACCAATCTCCAGTATATTATGCTGGAACATTCCGCGTTGCAGCAAAATAGTGGCTATTTTTCAATGACTTTGCATACGCTGCCTATTTTTCAATTACCATTCCGAAAACTGGCTAGCCCGTGCTATTTTCACTTAGGCGTGAGAAAACTTTTGAAATTGAGATAGGTCCAAAGTTCATTTATCGATTATTGCAAGATTAAATTTGTTATTTTAGTAAGTTATATCTGTTAAATGAGCTATATGTATGTGTGATAGACGAATTAAAAGAAGGTATAATGATTATAAAAAGCTATATGTCGACTGGACAGATGTGGATCAGAATNAATTTACGCTTCGAGTCAAAAGTATTGAGTTCACATGAACCTGGCGCTGGTATTCTGGTTCCACCCCTGCGACTAGGTCCTAATTAAATGGGTAGTGGGGTTTGTCTACTACGATGGTTAACTTTGGACCTCAGACTCAAGGGCAGATCATTTGAACTCATAACTTTCGATACATAGTATGTAAAAACTTACTAAACTCTCAATGATCTTATAATTGAGCCCATAATTATAACATTGCAATGAGTTTAATACTATAAATATTAAAAGTTGAACCATTAAATTTAAATCTTGGATCCGCCGTTGCTCAGACGTACGACAAAATTAGTAATTAGTTTTCACGATTGACATCACACTTCTTTTGACCGGATTACAAGCAACGAAAAATGAACATAAACATAAGGAGTTGAAATAATTTATATTATAGCACTTAACAAATTTGTAACAATTCTATAGGGTTTATATGGTCTAGAGACGAATGGCCATAACAATAATAGCACTACAATATTGTTCTAACGAAAAACTAGCTTGTTGTAGCTTCTCATCTTCAACCACTGAATGTTCAAAAAAACTACCATCACATGTCAATAAATCACCAATTGAACGACTCATAAAATGGACAACTTGTCCACATTTTTTAGCCTCGAAAAATCCCTCAGCATTTTCCCTATTTAGTTCTACAAATGCATATTGGTCAATACACTTTGAGTACACTCCTTTTAGTGTTGCGTTCGTCGCGTTATCGCGAAGAGAAGTCACCAGAGTGGATGTTGAGTCGATAAGTTTGGAAGTCATGTTGAACGTGATCGTGCCGAGGGTTTCAAGATCTGCGGTTTTAGAACGAGGATCTGACCTTATAAGTGTCTCACAAAGAGTAGCATTGGGTGTTTTAGCACAAATCTCACTAACTAAATCTCCCTTCACAGTTGTAGATGTGAAGAGAATGGATAGAAAAAAAGATGCAAGAAATGAGGAAATAATGAAAGAAGAAGCCATTTTATTTCTTTAATTTCTTTGCTCACAACCTTATGTAGCAAAGATTATGATGCAGCGACCCCTTATTTATATTGGAGAAAAAATATTGTGAATTTAATACAGGCCTATCTTATAATCAGAATTAATATCGATCATTGAAAAGCAAATGCAGATTTTGATATCTAGATTCTATCAATAAATGTAGTAAGAAGAAAGAGACAAAAAACAAATAGTCAAATTTCAAATGGTCAATAAAACATTTAATATAGTCTGTTCGGCAAATGTTACTGCCTCAAGTACAAATCTAAAATTAAATCGAAATTTGACTCTATATATATATATATATATATATATATATATATATATAGAGGCATACTTAATCGAATTGGATTAAAGAAAATCTAAAAACACATATATAAAATAAAGTGCCCTCGTTTTGAGGCATCTATCGGTGAATTAAGGACCACCGAAAATTGTGGTGAGATGAATAAGATCCCTTCATCCTTAATTAGCTTTTCGAATTTGAAACCTGAAATGAAAAAAGTCCTAATAGGAAACTGTTTTACCCTTAAAATTGGAAAACAATTGAATTTATACGGGGTTTTAAGGATACGTGATATAACTTGATACAAATTGAGAAGGCAGATCAATATTGAAATTAACGATAATAAAATAAATGCAAACCACAAAATTGAACATCCTTAGCTTCTGAGTTTGATCACCCTCGAACCAAGAAATGTCTTAACTAGTGTTAGAATTGAACAACAAGATGATGAGAACTAGAAATGATCAGTATATTGCTTTCTTTTGGCGTGTTACAATGTGTCCTACAAATGATCAGAACCCTCCTTTATATAGTGGGCAAGGTAAAAAATCTTATGATTTGCTAATTAATCGTCCTCTTCTTGATACGTGCCGAGATTTTCGCCGTGATCCTCGACCGATTGCGGATATTTCAGCTTTCCGTTATTTGGTTCGGTAAGTTTCCCTCGATCTTGCTCGGTCTTTGAGTCACGAGCTCGACGATCTAACTTTGTGCCTTGGTTTGATATAACACGAGCTCGAGCTTTGGCCTGCCATCTTTCAGACTCGATTGGTAAAAAAATGGACGAACCCGGTTTCGACTGTATACAGATAGTCCCTCATTTTTTGGATAGAAGATGACAAGAAACGATATGAATTTTTGAATCTCTCTCCGATAAATCATGACGTAAGCGAAAACAGGTCATTGAAACGTCCCGTCGGTCTAGTATCCAAGATATTAAATGTGTGTTAATGTTGGTCGGCCACCACTGGTTTTGAACCGTTATTAGCAAACTATAAATACCTCAACCCTCATTCGTTCAAACTTTATGTTCAAAAGAGCTTCTTCTACTCTTGTTCTTTAAGAATCTCTTCACTCTCTAACTTTCGTGCCCAGATTGCTTGAACCTTTTGTAACCACTAAGCGTGTCTTCTTAATCTCCTTTTCTTCATCTCTGCTTTAGAATGGCGAAAACCTCTAAAACTATTCCACAGAAAGAAAAAGCCTCTTCATCACAGTCTGCTGTCGATGGGGTTGCGATGGAGCCACCCTCTGAAGAGTTCGTTCCAGGAAGATGCCCGATCGGTGCTGATTTCAAGATCGAAAAGAATTCCTTGGTACCGGGTTGATGTGAGCCGGTCTCGAGATATAGATGTACAATCATCGGCGATCTCCCCCCCAAAGTCAAAGAGGATTGTAACTGGACTGATAAACCCGTGGTGGTGCCCTCGCCTGAGGAATCAATCACTACCCATGTAGAGGGCTTTTTAAATATTTACACTTACCCCTTCACGTTGTGTCTCTTAGACCCGATCATTACTGCCTTCTGCAAAAGGTACGAAGTGACCTTCGGTCAAATTCACCCCTCTTTCTGGGGGATAGTGATCCTTCTTCATTTTTTTGTAAACAAAATCGAGGGATGTGCCTTCACCCTGGATCATCTTATGCACCTGTACAGTCCCCGATTATATCGAGGGGGATTGATCAAACTTGCTTGCCGGGCTACCAGGGCCCCGTTCTCGAGTATAGATGAGGATCGGGACCGAGGCTGGATGGGCCGATTTGTTCGAGTGATGACCTCGACTTGATCTTTGCTGAAGATATGCCATTTCCCGAGAAATGGAACATGAAGCATAAGTATAACTTCTCCTTAAAGACTTTATTTATTGTTTCTTCCCTTTCCTTCCTTCTTATCGGTGTTTTTGTGGTGCAGCTGTGTCTCCGATGCCGGACGTAGTTCCTGAACTCAAAGAGTGGGTCGAGGGCCTGGTGTCATAGAGACCATATTTCGAGAAAGGTTCGGTGGGAGGCCCGTAATCATGGTAAGTTTTCTTTTCTGATGTAATAATGTTCAATTTCCTCCTGGCGCTGCCAAATTCTTATTGGTTCTATTTTCTTTTGTAGGTCTCCCCAAAGATGTTGCTATGAGGCCTCCATTCGGTGATGAGGATGTGCCTTTTGAGTCCATTGCTCCGAGGTAGGGTGATGAAGAGAAGAGGAAAAAGTGCCCCAAGTTCCCCGAACTGGAAAAGAAAAAACCAAAGAAGAGGTCACACAAGACCAAGGGAAGAAACTTTGCTCTATCCTCAGACGCAGTTCATCGATTAAGGGACGAGTCCGAAGAAGAACAAGAAGAAGAAGAGAAATCCAAGCTGGTTGCCCGTGTGCGGGCATGTGTCGTGATACAAAGGCCCTCCAAACCGGCTGATGGCGAAATCGAACCGTCCCAAAATGAGGAGGTCGATGAGGGAGTCTTAGCCGAAGCTCCCAAACCATAAAGGGGTAAGGCCACTCCGCCCCAAGCTAGGGGGGGGGGGAGGGGTCGAGAGGGATACTGGGGCTGATATTCCTCGAGTAGAGGAAAGTGCCTCGAAAGACATGCTTAGGGCGATTGACCTTACCGGGGGGTCTCCCCAGTTTTCAGATGCCATGATCCGTGAGGCCGACATGCTAGAAAGTCGTTCTTACGAGGGGCCTCATGGGGCTCCAAATATCCACAATTTCTTAAACGGGTTAGAGTCTGCCGCTTTAGAGGACGTCACCGGGCTCGGAGACTTATCGGTGCCAAATAAGGTACCATCGCTATAAGCTAGTGGGTCTTCCTCGAGCCTAATGTTAGTGTACAGGTTCCAAGGCTCCGTGTCTTGACCCTGACTGAATGCGGTCGATAGTTTTCTCTATCCCGGAGGATGCCTGGGTTTTCTCTGCTCCCCGGGGGTCGCTAGTTATCTTCGGTGATTGGTGATCGAAGAAGATCAGGCCGTGATGGACAAGGTAGAAATCCCCTGCCTTTTCAATGAAGATCAACAAGCATTGAATCGGGTAACTTCGAGTGTCTTTCTCATTATGTATTTTAAACTTAAAGTCGAAAACAATCATAGCACCTTCTTTTATGTTTGCAGGCCTCGATACTGCACCATGAAACTTTCCTCTGATACCGGGAGGAGTCAAACTAGCACGAGGCTGAGGTTTGAGTGCTTACTAAGAAGATGGACTCCTACAAGCTTCTCAGTGAGAAGCTTCATGCCGAATTATAAGCGGCTCAGAGGGAACACACCGAGATAGACGAGCAGGTAATTCGAATACTTCACGATAGTGGAGATGAGTTGGACATAGTGGCTGATGATCCGATCCTGCAGGTCCGATAGAGGCTTGAACAGATCGGGCAGCTCCAAGCAAAGGTAGATACGATACAAGCTGAGGCTGAGGAGTTCAAGAAAAATATAGACCTCTTAGCCTCGAAAAGGAAGTTGTCCAAGCACAACTGGAGTCGATCGAGGCCCAACTTCGGGTTGAAAAGGAGAAATCCTCGGTGCAGGTCAAGGAGATTGAGGAGCTCCGGTCTTAGTTGGACTCGGCTACTTCTAGTAAGGAGAATCTGGCCAAGGAACTCGAGGCAGCCAAATCAGAGGTGGTTAAGGCCAAGACCGGGGCTAACGTCAAAGTGGACCAATTTAAGGTTGACGTCGATGCGATTCAAGCGCATGCTAAAAGTATGGTGGAACATGCAAAGTGAAAAGCTCGAATGGAAGCCCTCGAAGGAGTTCATGCTCAGAACTTCGACGTACCGGCTGAACTCGGGGGGTGCCAAATTAGAAGAAGCCAGGGCCCGGAAGCTGGCCTTTCTCGAGGAAGATTGCGAGAGCTTATGCGAGTCTGATGACGGGGAGGATCCCGAGGATGAAGATGATGCCTCCGATGGGGACCAGGCCACTTAGGATTTTTTATTTTTTTGCATTTTTTACATCTTTTTAGGCTGTTTCGGCCGTTGTAGGTTTTTGTATTGGGCCATTCTGGCCTTTGTAAAAATATTGTTGGATAAATATATATGAGGTTTTTAATTCCCTTTCGGCTATCATATTTTCCCTTTACCTTATTGCCTGTATTCACGAAGGTCGGGATGCTTTAGAATAAAATAACTTAGGTTATGTTCGAAAGTTCAAACAAACGTCGCCTTTACATTACTTTGTTTTAAGGCGTCTTGAGGGATTCGGTGTTACCAGAAACATTTTTTCCAAAGTAAGTAGCCGAGATTATAGTTCACCGAGGGTAGCCTTTCGGACTGGTTATTAAAAATGATTTTCTTTTTCGAAGGCCTAGTTTTTGTTACGGGTTTCGGACGTCTCTGAACCGTGTTAATATGGTTGTAGCCTTTTAGTTCAGGTGTTGCCCAGTGGGCTTGCTTTCCTGAGTTATCCAGGCTTGCCTAAGATAACAGCCCCTGAGTGGGTACATCCGTAGCCTTTAAAATTCGGGGTTTGCCTAATAGGTCTTATGCCCCGATGTTTAATAGATCAATCTGTTCGAGTTTGTTTTTTGGACGTACAGTCCCCGAGTGAGGAGTGACCATTCGACACTTTGGTTATAAGACGGCCCTTGGGCTCATTACCTTTAAGAATCGGAAGTCGAAAATTCTTTAAGGGAATGTAAAGAGGAAACTTTTTAAAACAAATAAGATAATTGCAAGGAAAGTACTTCTTGTTGGCTCCCAAACGCA